TACCAATATCTTTATGATTAGTAGATATAAATCATTTTATAAAAATAAAATTTAAATATTATAAATTTATTTTTAATTTTGAAAATCAATAGTTTTATATTCAGGCAGCTATCGAATATGATGGTGTAATAACGGATGAAACTGGGTGGTAGTTTCTTGAGTATAATATTTGGAATTTGATCTAAATCAGATGATTTTTTGTTGTTGAGTTTTCTCAGGATTGAGCTTAGTTCGTCTTCGTTTGTCGGATCTGCTATTAGGGGTGAAGTTGCAGAATGTGATGTTAAATTGAATTTATTTAATATTTACAATAATTTTTATATACTTGCATAAGAAAGTGTAAAAAATAAACTTTTTTATTAAAAAATTTTATTCATAGGCGAAAAATGAATACAAAATAAAAAATAGATTGAAAAAAAAGTATCAAATTATGGATGGGAAACGAACCCGATCCCCCTGCACGGTAGGAATTTTCGGACGTCGCCGTTGGGCCACAACGCTACTTCAAAACTAGTGGAAATATATCTGTAATTTTTGAAGTAATAAAACTTTAAAACTTTAATCGTAAATATCTCAAAAACTATCCAGTAGTTGCCCCTATAATATATATTCTTAAACTGCATGACGAAATCTACAAACCTGCAAAGTTTCAACTAAATTGGTGACCCGAAGGACTTGCACTCTCCTTGTAAACATTTTCTCTCGGTGAATTCTCGTCTCGTAAACTCATCTATCCCACTACTCTTTCATTTCTTCTTTCTTCTATCATACGTTACATAAAAATACGCAAACCATTATCACAGCATTCGTGTTCCAAACTATGTTATTTTGTCTCTTGAACTGTTGTTCTTTTACTAAAATTAAAAATGGGTCTTAATAGTTCATTTATTTTTTTCTCAAGTAAAATGACCCTAAATCTACTGAGACTCGTGTCACAGTGAAGTTCTTACATGAATTTTCAATCGTAAATTGCCAAAATTGAATGTGCCACTAAACGCTTTTTCATCGTTTGTGTCATTTTCTTTTGGACGGAAGAAAAACGTGGTGTCTTTTCTTAATAGATTATACAAAGGTTTTACGACTTCTGAGAAGTTTTGTATAAATCGGCGAAAACAGCTCTCTAGTCCAGTGGATCTTTGTATTATGTTTTGCATTTCCAGGAATAGGGTAATTCATGGTAGATCCAACATTTACCTTTTTGTTCGTTTATCATGTAACCTTCGTATGAAATGTGAGAGGAATCTTTATTTGGATGGCGTCACCTTGCATCGGGATTTATCTTTGCTTCGAGGAAAATTGGTAAGCTGGATAGTTCCTCGAAACTAGGTTCAATGACGCAATGGGTTGGTATCATATACCTATAAAACCCTTGCCGAAGGGTTCGAAGGGACACCTTTCTTTGGCAGTCCACCGTGTGCATCTCGCATCACAGAAAAACTCGAGTCTCAGCTTACATGATTCTGAAATTAAGAATAAAGTCAAGAGTAAATGTTTTTATTGAGATTTATTAACCCGATCTTACCACAGTAATATTTGTTTGTCAGAAGGAGCACTTACCTAGTCGAATTTCCTGTTTGCGTAGGTTTCATAATATATACACGTACTAACAAAAGTTAAGAAACAACGTAATCATTTGATAATTTAAGTATGTTCTCTATCTTCTACGATACATAGGTTGAAACTGAAAATGGCATAATAAGATAACATTCCATACATTTGCAGGATTTCTAGCTAGATTAATCCTATGCAGACCGAGATCTGCGCGTCTAATAAACAACTCCTTTTTAATAACAAAACAGGTCTATTTAATTAAAATATTACACTAAGTTCCTCTCAATTCTAACTCTCAAGCACACGATCCTCTATTCGCTACGTCTCGACTACACACAATCTGCCTCGCCTGCGCCCTTGCACCTTACTTAAAGTCAAAACTCTCTCTTTTCATACACAGGCTTTCTATCTCAATCACTGGACCCAGTCATAAATATCTCATCCGTTCACACGCACTCCAGGTAACGTCCTAAACGTCTAAGTCGAAGCCGATGTCGCTGTTTATTATTCCCTTGCTAGAAGGGAAACGCTGCTTGCAACCCCACATATCAGTAAACAAGTTGTTTTTTGAACATATTTGTGGATCACAATTAAATTAAATCGAAGAAATAAGACAAAATCTTCGTGACATAAGTCAAGAAACATACAAAGTACTCGCAATAAGTTGAGGTTATAATCTAAAAAAACGTATTCAGAAACACTCGGTTCCCTGTCTGATATAGCTGAGTTTAATTCACATTATAGTTTGTGTTAAATATGAGAGGCAGGCAACATTGAACAGACGCTGAGAGACTGAAAGCAGTTAAAACGTTTAAGAAAGTCTAGAAAAAAATTGCCATGGGAAAAGTGTTTAGCGTGAATCGTTGCATTATCACTGAGATTATAAAACTGTTAAAACAGTACCATGAACTGACAGACCACGAAAAGCAACTAAAAATCTAGATTATCGAATTGCAAGACTCTGGAAGTCGAATCTATTTTACACTGTTTCTGAAATTAAAAATCAACTGGGCCTGGAAAACATTCACAGTTGTTTAGATGAAAATAATTTTCTTTTCGCAAAGCATGCAAGAAACCAATTATGTCGAAGAAAAATAGAGCAGCTCGGTTGGAGTTTGCTAAAGAACACCTTAATTGGACTACCACTGAATGGTCAAAGATTCTATAAAGCGATGAGAGTAACTTCAACCTGTTAGGAAATGACTCTGATAATAATGTGCGACGCCCTACTGGGCAACAATTTGATGTTAAATACCTAAAACCGACAGTAAAATTTAGTAATGTAATGGTGTGGGCTCGTTTCTCGCATAACCCTGGTCCATTAATGCAAAGAAAAGAAGCAATGAATAAATTTGTGTATTACGACAATTTACAAAATCATGTATTGCCATTTGCCAATAAAAAAATGTTATCAGAGTGGTCATTTCAACGCGATAACGACCTCGAACATTCCTTTAACTTAGTTAACCGTTTGAGTGCCACGGGTCATTATTGTTTCCCAATCGATATTTGCCAAGCGGCGCGATAGCGCTTGTCATATTCCGTGTCCAAAAATGCCGAGCGGCGCGATAGCGCTTATAAAGTAAGATAGTTATTTCTTTTTACTCATAATCCCAATAATAGAACACAAAGTTCAACCGGTATTTCTTACCATATTATCGTGATATTTTCCATTAAATCTGTTTTATTGGTAAATGAATGACTTTTCATTTGACGTCCAACGTAATCCCACAGATGTTCGATTGGGTTCAAGTTCGAGGACTGACTTGGCCGTTTGATTACATTAACATTTTGTTCTACAAGAAACATCTTAACCGTTTGAGTGCCAAGCGGCGCGATCGCGCTTCTTCTATTTTGTGTCCAAAAGTGCCAGCGCTCTGAGCTGCGAAGCTGACAATCAGCGCGCTCGGTTGGTGAACGCGGAATATGAGAAGCGCTATCGCGCCGCTCGGCATTTTTGGACACGGAATATGACAAGCGCTATCGCGCCGCTTGGCAAATATCGATTGGGAAACAATAATGACCCGTGGCACTCAAACGGTTAAGAAGGCTGTTTTAACATCCATTTGATGGATCAATAAATCAAACTAATTCGCAAAAGCAATAATAAATCTAAAACTTGTAATTCTAGCAACTGGAGCAAAGATTTCATTGTAATCTATCAAATATTTTTGGCTGAAACCCCTTGCAACCAAACGTGCTTTATACTTTAATGGGTTTCCAATCTCGTCACTTTTAATCGTAAACACCCATTTACAATCTACGATATTCTTATCCTTGGGTATCGGTACTAAAGTCCAAGTTATATTTATCAACAGAGAATCAATTTCAGCTTTAATAGCTGATTTCCATTGGTTTCTGTCGTCTCTACTCTCAATCTCCTGACACGATGCACGAATATTACATACTATCGACTATGCACACATTAAATAATCTACTTGCATGCTTTCTTCGTCATATGAAATATGGGGTCGCTTTTTAATTCTATCACTCCTCCTAGGTTCTAATTGTAGGATGGCGAATACTGGTCTTGAGACACCGAAAATTCACGAAAGAACAAGAACACGATAACGCAAACTCAAAACTCGTAAACTGATTTAACTTTGGGAAAGAACACCAAGATAACGAAAACACACAAAGACGCACTCTTTTAAAACTCTCTTTCCAAGACCAAGAGACTCACGCTTGTGCTGGTCATGACCGATTTCTAAGGACTCTGTGTTGCTTGTCAAGAACCACGCTTTTATGCTTTCCTTAACCTATACTTCACCTCCCCGTAGGGGAGCCACGCAACTTAATTTTGTTATATAGAATATTCGATTTGCTTCTGGAAGATATCAATCGGTTTATAATTTGTTTTTGTTGTCAATATCCGATTAGCGATTTCTTTTGATATCCTACATAATTGTAATCTTTTATTACTGTGTTTACTGTCGGTATTCATACTGTCCTGAGATAACGAACTACTTTTTTGGGTCATTTCCGCGTTATCATTTAAATAACTATCATTATTTTTGTTTGAGTTTCTGTAGTTTAATTTGTCTGTTTTATCATTACCAGACTTACTCTACTCACCCACTGATTTTGACTGTACGTTAGACACATCAGTTTTATTTCGAGTATATTTTAAATATAAACTATTTGATTTACCATTATCATATTTACTTGACTCATCTACTGATTTTGACTGTGCGTCAGAAACATCAGTTTTATTTCGAGATTTTTCACTGTTAATTTCTTCCATTCTTACTATAGGTGTAGACTTTAACCGTTTGAGTCCCACAGGGTTTTGAAAAAACATTGTCGCAGAATCCCGAACAGCGCGACCGCGCTTTCTCTAAGTGAGTAGGATTAGACCCAAGCAGCGCGATAGCGCTCCTTCTATTTTATGTCGAAGAATCCCAAGAGGCGCGATAGCGCTGCGTTTATTTTATGTCGACTTCGACAATCGGTGACGCACCGTCAGCTGTCGAAAACCCTCGAAGTTTCGTGCTAGGTTTTCTCGACATGAAATCTGAACAGCGTGATCGCGCTGCTTGGGACTCAAACGGTTAAGTAGTTAGTTTCGTCGAAGATTACATCCCTAACAACTATATACATTTCCTTTTCCACATCCCACATTTTATACTGTTTGATTATATGCGCGTTTCCGTAATCGCAACGCATTGGCATGGTCAGGCGGCGTGCGACGTGCGGCGGTGAGGTGCTGATGTAAACACGCGAGTCTCCGACTCATTTAGTCGAGAAGGAGCTATGCGAGGTGAAAGAGATAAATAAAACTATTATATTTAAGAGAGAGAGAGAGTTCAAATTTATTAAAGCAAAGGTAACCTTAATCCAACAGGTTATGGGCCCAGTTGGAAGTTATTAAAGGTGGCTTATAGTTGAACTCCTCAAAAAAGTGATAAATTAGTGAAAAATTAGTTTATCCAGTAATCGAAGATTCTGAAAGCACGTGGTAAATAATCGAAGTTTCTGGAAGCGCGTGGTAAGTAATCAAACTTTCTGGAAATCAAGTAGTGAAGAAAAGAAAATATATTACCAAATTACTAAAAAAAAATGAATACTAATATGTCGGCAATAGGTTATAGGTTGCAACGGTTATAGGAAGCATTCCTTCTTTTCAACCGAAATTGGAAGGCTCTTCAAACTACGCCGCATGGAAGTTCGTAATGAAAATGACCCCAATTGGTCTCGATTTGTGGGATTGCATTGAATCTAATAATACAAATGTCTTAGATCCAAAAAGAAACCAAAGAGCACTAGCAGCGATCTGTTCAAAAGCAAAATCACAGTGTCACATGCATCTTAGTAACGTAGAAAATGCAAAAGAGGTTTGGATAAAGCTAAGAAAAGTTTATGAGGATACAGGCCTATCACGGATTGTAATCCTGATGCAATCTCTATTCAAGATAGATTACAATGATTATCATGATATGCATAAATATGTTTCAGAAGCCTTATCATTGTCACAAAAATTGGCCGATATAGGAAATCCTGTGGAAGACAAGTTGCTAACGGTTATCCTATTAGCAGGTTTACCTGTGGAATACAAGCCCATGGTAATGGCTCAAAAATTTGGGAACCTTTGATTTAATAAAAAGAAATCTTCTTCAAGAAGAAGTAAAAACTCAGCTCGTGGTTAAAACTGAGGTAGCCTATACAATGAAGAATGAAGAATTGCGATCAAATAAAAGGAAATCTTGGAAAAAAAGGGATTAGATGCTATAATTGCAGTCAAAAAGGTCATTTCAAGCAGAATTGCAGGAAGTCACAGTTGGAAACATTAGCAAGAAGCTCCAAAAGTTGTCACAAAACGGATAACAAAAATAAAAATTGGAGCATGATCTGTGCACTTTCAACAAAAGTAAATAATCAAGACTGGTGTATAGATTCTGGTGCAACGCACCACATGTCACCAAATAAAGAATGAATACAGAATTTTTCTACTGTTCAACCACAATAAGTAACGGTAGCAAACAGTACAATGCTCCAGAGCACTGAGATAGGTGACAGCCGTATGTATAAAAGAACATTCAAAAGTAAAAAATAAACCAATGTTCTGCATGTTCCTGACTTAAACACCAATTTCTTATCGGTAAATTCACTAACGAGTGAATAAATAACAAGTGAATCTAGTACTTATTTTTGATAACAAAACTTACAATTTTTACCAAAAAGATGATTTCTACGTAAAAGGAATAGTAGTAGCCCAAACAAAAAATAGGGATGGCCTATACAAACTAGATACTGCTGTTGTGAAAGCCTATACACTGCTTCAAAGAATCAAGAGGATCAAGATCTCTGGCATAAAAGGCTGAAACATTTGAATTACCTCGGTATGACACTTTTAAGGAAAGGAATGGTCGAAGGAGTACACTATGATAAATCAACAAGGAAACCTTGCAGAGACTGCGTAAAAGAAAAGCAAATCAAGTTATCTTTTAATAATAAAGGTGCACAAAGGATCACTGATGTTCTAGAGCTCTTACACGCAAATATATGCGGACCATTTAGAATCGCAAGCTGATCCGGTGCAAGGTACGTATTAGTTCTTATAGATGATTATACACGTATGACATTTTGTTGTTTTTTAAGGAACAAAGATAATGTAACAGAAACTTTCGTAGAGTTTAAAACATGGATTGAAAATCAAAAAGATAGACGTATTAAATATCTTAGGACCGATAATGGGATGGAATTTGTTAATGATAAATTATTAACTATTGGATATTACATTTATATGTGTGTGTTATTTAGTTTGTCTTATGTGTGTGTGCTGATGCTTGGTGCGGCACAAGCAAATAAGTGCTACTGCAGCAGTCGTTTGTTGCTCGCCATAGAAGAATGAGGTTGTGCACGTGGTGCTGTAGATGGAAATGTAGAGTAAAATTGTATTAAGTATTAAATAAACTTTTGCATTAGCATTACAGGGAAGTATATTGAATATTTATTTGAGCCATATTAGAGTTTATTTTTTCATGGTAGCAGATCCGCGATTTCGAGTTCGTTTCGTTTGAAAAGAGGAAAGATTGGAAACAAAAGAACGTGTAGAAAGATCTAGAATATTCGAGATGGCATATATGAAGTGTGACGACACTGTTATACCAATATTCGACAGAGGAGATTACAAAAACTGGAAAAAACGTATAATGATGTTTTTAAAGTATAAAAAATGCAACCTGGTGGTAGAGAGAACTAAGCTAAAAAATGAAGTACAAGACACGTGGAAAGAGATGGATATAAAGGTGGTAAATTATATCTATAGTGTCATTACTAATAAACAACTAGTATATATCAACAACATAGATACAGCATATGGTATAATAACAAAATTTGATGAAATGTATTTACAAGAATCCACAGCATTACAGATTGTGTGTAGGAATAATGTAGAAAACATAAAACTGAAGGATTATCAGGATGTGACATTATTTTGTTAAAAATTTGAAAAAGCTGTAAATGAGTTGAAGACAACTGGTGCAAATGTAAGTGAAACAGAAAAACTTAATTACATGCCAAGGACACTACCAAAGACATTTAGCTATATTGGCAACTTGATAGATGTGTTACCTGAAAAAGATAGAAATGTGGACTACTTGAAAGGCAAATTAAAAATGAAATTCAAGGAAGCAATAAAAGGAAACGAGGAGAACGAACAGTTAAATAAATCAAATGCATTTGCTGCAATAAAGACAAATACGGGAGAAACTAAACAACACACAAAATGTTTCAATTGTGGAAAGATGGGTCATACACAAAGGAATTGTTGACAACTAAATACAAATAATCAACAGGGATACTTAAGAAATGGTCAACACTAATGTGGATGAAGAAGAATTCAGCAGGGTAGAAGATATTGTAACAACAACAGAGGAAACTGCCGTGAAGGCTACAATAGTTATAGAACTGAAGTACAAAGTGAAGGGACAGGAGAAGGAAGTAGTAGTAGAAGATATTGTAACAACAACAGAGGAAACTACCGTGAAGGCTACAATAGTTATAGAACTGAAGTACAAAGTGAAGGGACAGGAGAAGGAAGTAGTTTTTCTGTTGAAGCGAATGAATCATATAGTAAACAACGAGACATACTTTAACGAATGTATAACTCTAAAGAAACCAGTCAACGTTAAAGTAGGAGATGGAAGGATACTTGAGGCAACCAAAGTTGGACGCATTGAAGCCATGTTTTTATTCCAGTAAAAACTGGAGTGTCCAAGGTATAGATAACAAATGTGTTCTATGTTAGAGAAATGCAGGCTAACTTATTAAGTTATTCAAAAATTACTGATAAGAATAGAATTGTGTCAGTAGTAAATACTTCTAAAATATATGATAAGGATGATGAGTTAATAGCAATAGCTTTTAAGGAGAAAAACCTTTATAAAGTGAAGTGCAATATAATTAATCAAAGTAGTAAAGCATAAACTAACGTAGTGAATATTAATGTTGAACAAAAACATTCCCAGAAGAAAAAATGGTATAAAGTACTTGACTATATAAATTTTAATTACCTAAATATTCTAAGTAAAAATGAATTGTTGAAGGGATTACCAAAAGACTTAGGATCAGAATATTTAAAATGTGCTACATACATAGAAAATAAAATGTGTAATCTGTCCTTTGAAAACAACAGGAGTAAAGCAAGAGATATTTTAGAGATAGTACATTCAGACTTAAATGGACCGCATGCCACAACTGGGAACCGTAGTGAAAAATATTTTTTGTCATTTATTGATGATTTCAGCAAACTAGTAAAAGTCTACTACATTCAATCAAAAGATGAAGTATATAACTGTTTCAAGCAATACGTTAACGAAATAGAAAATTTGAGTGGAAAGAGAATAAAAGTTTTAAGATGCGATAATGGAAAGGAATACATAAATTCGAGAATCATATGTTTTGCAAGAGAGAGAGGAATGCGTTTAAATCCCTACCCCCACATATGCATGAGTTAAATGGAACGGCGAAGAGGTTTAACAGGTCAATTATGAATATGACCAGGTGCTTGCTAAGCAAAGCAAGGGTCACAAGGAAGTTTTGGCCAGAATGTATTAAAGCGGCTGCATACAGATACTACGAAAATTCACTTTCAGTCCCCATGGACTGACACCTTGCTCATCGTGTTAATGTGAAAATACAACCATCTTTAATTAAAAAAGTCGGGATAAAGGCGAACGCATTCAGGACATAGTTTTATTCTAGATTCTCGTACCGAAAATTCGAATTGCCTGGCTATTTTCCACACTTTGCCCTGCCCCGTAAGGCATTGCCACTTACCGCTCACACTTACGTATTGACATCTCGCAACGAGGACGCATACTCCAATAAGCACTTAGTGATCATACACAGAACACCTAATTTTGTTTTCTCTTCCGCTTTTACCTTATGCACGTTGAAACGTGCATAACATCTCCATATATCCAAAATGGTAGAAGAAATGAAATGTCCAGAAATGTTCAGAATATTAAATTAACTTCGATATTCTGAAAGTACGTTAAATTAATTTTGATATCATCAAACTAGGATTGTTCCTACTTTGTTCTTATTGTTAGTCATAACCCGACAAACGATCAACCTTTCACCAACTGAATGCGATATCGCAGCTAGGAAGGGACCCGGAGAACGAGGTGGTTCTGAAAATGATGCGTGTCTCTTGATGCGCAACCATGAGGCTAGGTTAGGTTTGTCGTCGGCTTTCTTGGAGGAAGGGACCCGGAGAACGAGGTGGTTCTGAAAATGATGCGTGTCTCTTGATGCGCAACCATGACGAGGCATCTCATGGTGTCTGTGATTATAGTCTGGGCTAGGGACATTTACGTGGAGTACGATATCGGCGACACTCTGTCCCCCGTCCCGATCCCTAGACAGATCCGTTGACGGTGGTTCCATCACCAATGTCTTCGAAACAACATCCCGCCGACGTAGACACCGATCGCAACTGCGAAGCGAGCCCGTGACTTTTCCATATCCTGTCACGCTCGTCCCTGTCACGTAATTTCTACGCGATGGTGATAAAAAAGACAAATGCGACTCGTCAAGCCGTAGCGTTAGCAACTCGATTCCCTTTATTGTTCTGTACCCAGGTTTCACAAGAAATGCGCATAACACTAATTGCAAAGGTAGGACTTATAACGCAAAGTAGATGTGGAGATCGTTGTTAATAATAAACTTTATTTCACCATTGCTATTTGGCGGATTTCTGCGCTCTACTTGGCTCTACAAATCTCTGCTCGACTCTGGGCATGCCAGAAATGGTGGTCGTCGCACGATATGTTGTGTTATGCCACGTTCGGCAGTGATACGTTTAACTTCGGACTCGTATAATTTGAGCGTTGGGTGAGATCTGAAGCTGAGCGGTTTCGGTTGGTCTTATATATTGAATAGTTATCTTATCTAAATATTGTTATAAGGTGGCGGGGTAGGATTAACATCCGCAATCGTTTTTAGGGTTACATCCCCGCTGAAGCTGAAGCTTCGAATAATGAACACCACGAAGACCTAGACGATCCTGAAGCTCTTAACATCAACATCTTGCATTTCACGCTATTGGGATTATGGGTAAAGAGAAATAACTATCTTTTTTTTATAATTATCTTTATTCTGTTCTTAGGAAGATATATCTTATGTATTAATTGTTCGTATGGGGAGAAAAAACTAGAGGGTTAAGAAAGGGTATGCGTTTGCAACTCGCCCTGGTCCCCTAATTCTTATCTAACGCGTGAAGCAAACACTTCACGCGTTCTCCATCTATTTCTCCTAAGAGATTGATTTTTGTGTATTCGATACGTTAAGACGAAACTTATTTTCAACAGTTGTTTTAACTGACGTTGGGCGCCTGCATTTATCAAACTAGGTGTTCTTTGAGTGACTGAGAATCAATGGATTCCCGTTGGTCATCCAACAGCAATGTGCCCATTTCTTCCCTATTCAGCCAACACGTTCCGAGGGAGAAGTGTATTGACCATCCACGCCTCATCGATATACAATATTTCATTTCTTGCTCTTTTGTAGCAATCCAAAGCCTTCAGGAAACATTCCCTCTCCAGGTTACGATGTTGGATTGTTTTATTAATGAAGGACGGCGAGCGGTGAAGGACACTAACAAAGTATTAAGGGCAGCAGCGGGACGAATGGGTGTGCGATCTTACTTCTAAGAGAATGCATGGGAACGCTCGGACCGTTTCTCGAATAATAAACAGCGGCATCATTTTCGACTCAGGCGTTCAGGACGATATTTAGAATGCGGACGAAAGAACAAACGATAGCGCGAAAGAATCATTTTGACGGGATATCTATGACTGTATCGAGTGATCGAGAAAGAATCAAATCTGTGTATGAAGAGAGAGTTTTGACTTTAAATAAAGGTGCAAGGGCGCGGGCGAGGCAGATTGTACGTAGTCGAGACGTAGCGAATAGAGGATCGTGTGTTCGAGAGTTAGAATTGAGAAGATCTTATTTTCAACACTCGCCTGTCCCGGCCTTTGTCCGCTTCCTTTATACCCGTTTCCTTCTTATATATATGTAGTTATCTTTCTCACCTTCTTTTCTGTATCCTTTGCTGCGAAGCGTTGTGTGGGGCAGTTAAGAACCCCCCGCGGAGCAACCAATATCATTTAACTATTAACCCGATAGGGTTAACCCGCAAAGCCCGGGCCAGAGCGGCACCTGCGTGAGCCGCAGGGAAAACTGTCCTACGCGGTCGTGGTTACTATAAGAAGGTTAATTACCTGTATTTATTATACGACAGTGCAGCTAAGATTGTAAGGTGTCTCAGCCCCTGGAATAATACACGGGGTATCATTCACTGAATATAATGATAGTTTATCAACTCTTATTAATTATAATATATGGTACACTCCCCAACCAGAAGTCAGAATATTTGTCTGATTTTTGGAAATCGGCGGTAATGAAGAGCTCGCTCTTATCTCCCGCCGCGGAATGGCTCGATATTACACTCAGCTCAGCCTCACTGGTTCCCTCGATATCGTTCTACTTTTCCACCACTCATCGTGTAGCGTCCTACGGTATCGAATCTCTTCGATTTCCAAGAACGCTTATCACGCGCCAATTTAATATTGCGTGACTAGTTGCGACAATAGGGATCCAGAATGTGTGTGGTCAAAGAGAGTGTTTATTTACAGAAAAGCGTAGAATAGTTATAATGTAGACGTTAACGGAGTACCGTTTCGAACACGCGTTTGACACACGTATTTGAACACGTATTTGTATGCAATTTAGATGTTTGAAGGATTGGTGCCGAAGACGAACTGACTTCTCGATTTTGCTGTATGTCCTGTCTCGTCGTGTTCGGTCCGGAGTTTTCTCTAGTTTAGTTCTGATTGGGTAAAATAGACGTTGGTGGTGGAAAGGTAAAGAGTTTTAATTGGACAGAGGGTGTGACATAAGGACCTTTGGCTAAGGAGTAGGAAACTGTCAAGGAGCCGATTTCTGATGGTCAATGACGTGATTTATAAGTGATGTCCGTCCGTCGCTTGTTGGGTCTGTCACAAGGTCCCATCTGTCGCGTCTGGTACTAGTAAAATTCCTAATTTTGCTTTACCTTTGTAAGCTTAATTCGCTAGAACGGCGTTGAGGCACATCGAACCTCCGGAATTGCAGTCGCGGTATAAAATATAAAATAAATCGTTAGGTCTGGTAAAAGTGCAAGCCCTAGAATCAAATTATGTTATAAACTTGCTCTCCGGGACGGAACACATCGTGAGCCCCATCTGCCTCTTCGTTTGGTGACTAGCATCAATGGTGCTACGGTAAGTGACACCCCTCAGCTCCTACTGTATTTGTCAAGTACTAGCGTTATTATTCCCAATTTTCACTTAGAAATACCAGGTGGGGCGGCGCGACAGGGTATATTGAGGGTTATAGCAGGGCTCGGCTTCGTTGGAGCCTGGCTGGGAAATGGGGGGAGGGGGGGAGGGAGGAGCATCGTTTCTCGGCCATGGGTGCGAAGGACATCCAAGATATCTTTTTCCTTTTTCTCCTTCTTCCTCTTTTTCTTGGGCTCGCTAGGAGGTGACAGTTGGATGTACGGGGCCATCGCCATCTCCCACAAAGGGTCATCCAGTTCTCTGCCACGAAGTAATATCTTATTTCCTCGGGACCAACGGTGTAGTAAAAGGAATATTCGCATCTCGAACATAAATAATCTATACCGATTTTCGGATGTTTCTCGGACAAGTGGTCCGTGAACTCCTCGACAGTGTCAAACCTCAGCCACTCCCCGTCAACCCTGTCCTTCGTGATTGAGAGGCATATGCGGTATTCGAACCAGTCGATGGATAGGTAGTAAATTTCATAGCAGACTACAAGGTCCCTGCGAACGAACTCGTACCTGATGTCGGATCTTGGGTATTGCTTTGCACGCCGGTGTTGGAGATCGCCGTTGCTCAGTCGGCGATAGCTCGGCATCGTCTGTACTATTGCACATTAGTGGTGTGACAAATGAACTGAAAAATAGGAGTAAAATGCAACTCAAAATAGGAATGAAAATGACGAAAAACAGATGCGTGTGTAGAACCGGTTATGTTACAGTTATGTAGGAAGCGGTCGCTAATCGAGGTTAAAGAAGACAGCGGAGTTAGTCTTCGATTAGTTTTAACGGCACGCGCAAGAATTCAACAGAAAACGAGGAAAACTGATAGAAAATGGAAAATATAGGTACAAAAGATGATAGGAAAGCAACGATTAGGAAGTCCGTGGGCGGCGGAGTCGGTACGACAGTCGTGCAACAGACACGTGCTCGCCGGTTTCTAGAACGTTCCAGAACACGCGGAAACAAAGTCAAGGCCTAAGTACCTGGGCATTTAAACGGGAGCACCGACGCTAGTCGCGTTGGGCCCCGGAGTGGGGTGGGGGACGCTCGGCAGTCCCGTTACGTTGGTGCGTATCCGGATGCTCTGGGGCGCACGGGAACGGGCAAACCCCGTGATTCTACGACACGGTGGGGATCTTTGTGCCCCCGTCACCACGCGGCAATAGGGGATACCGCATCACCGTATCACACTCGCGGACACTCGCGACTCAGACTCAACCACGCACCGTGAGAACCACTTCCACTGTACTTTCCGTTGCACAAAAAGGGAGAGAGTCAGAAAGCTGATGTTGGCGAAACTACTGGGGTTGAACTCGTCGGCACTGCAATACCGAGCCAACCCGCGGCGGGATAAGAACGAGCTCTTGATTACCACCGGTTATCCAAAAATCAAACTAATATTCTGACTCCCGGTTACGAGTGTACCAGATATTAAGCTGATGAGAACAGATTAAGCTTCCTCATTTTCAATGAATGGTCCCCCGGTGGTTAACCAGGGACCGAACGCCTTATACATACACAGTTGCAATTAGGCATAATTTTTTTCAGTTAAGAAAATACATAATGCTAACTGCGAGGACGAGTGCCCCCGCAGTTCCCGCAGACATACGCGATGCCCGGACTTCGCCGCCAGACGGGTTTAGTATCAATCCAGATAATAACTTGCAACTTGTGGTCAGGTTTTCGTCCCCCGGACGCTGCGCAGTAAATAAACAAGTAAAATAGAAAAATAATACAGAAATACAAAAGGAAAAATTAATATATCAATAAACCCCGAGCATCTTCTACGTGTTCGGAGTTTTTAACACGCCGGTGGTTAACCGGGGGCCGAACACCTCATACGACACAACTGCATAATTCTTTATATACAGGTAACAGATAATAGAAAAACTGCGAGGACCAGTGCCCCCGCAGTTCACGCAGTAAACGCGTAAGCCCGGACTTTGCCGCCGGACGGGTTTAGTTTCAAATAATACAAACTAGGGGGCGGGTTTTTGCCCCCTGGGCGCTGCGCAGTAATTAAACAAAAGAAAATAAGAAAATAAGGGAATAATACAAAATTAATATTTCAATAAATCAATACACCCTGAGCATCCTCTGCGAGTTGGGGGTTTTCAACACGCCCCTGCACGTGGGGCAGCAGAGGACACTCTGGGAGGGGACAAGGGCAGGGACGTAGAGCCCGTATGTTCGCATGAACGGACTCTCGTACCCAGATATAGAGGGTGGAGTGGGTGGTACCAGGGGGAGCGGCTGATGTGTGGGAGTCGATGGCTTGGACGTAGAGGATGCAGGCTGGCGCTTGTCCCCCGGCGACGGGGTCGGCGGGGTCCATGGTGGTGCTGTTCTGCCTGCGGTTCTCTTTCCGTCTGTCGCAGTCCGCGGCATAGGCGTCATCATGGACCGGACGCATATCGGGCTGCCAACGGATTCTTCCTCCGCATTCTTCGCCGAGCACCGGGACGACGTCGTGTTCCTCTGAGTGGGGCTTCTCAACGATGGCTTCAACGGTGACACCGCTATCTTGTTGCCAGCAGGGGATACTCCTCAGGCTGAGCATTCTGGTCCGACCCTTGGGATGGACGGAGGGCTGGGGATCTTCACGGGTGGCGGCAGTGGTGGAGGCCTTACCACCGCGGCCCTGGATTCCTTGGCTGGACCGGAGATCGTACCCGCGACCAAAGGTTGTTGAGCTGGGTCGGCTGCGGCGACGGAACGTGCACCTTTTCGCCGCCTACGTCTTTTCCTCTTTTGGCCTGTAGTCTTCGGCGTGCTTACCCCTAATAACGCCGTGATTGCGGACGTCCCCCTCGTAACTGCAGAGGCGTAGCTGGAAGAGTCCTTCAACGGTGGTACGTAGGGGGATAGCGTCAGAGCTCGCAGGAGGAGCTCCGAACTTTTCACAGGAGTCAAGGACGTCGACATCACCGGCCGGCCACAGATGGAGGTGACGGACGTCACCGTGGTTAAAGTGGCCGCGCCGCTGCACACTGGAGCAGTGGCGGTGAGTGGAGACCTGGCATCCGACAACAGGCGTGTGCCCACCATGGCTGTGGCAGCGGTCGTGGTCGAGGGAGGTTTCGTCCCACGCGTAACCGCAGCAAAGGTGCTGGTGACGGTCACGCACTTCCGGGATGTTCTTTTGGATGACATCGTAACGGGCTCGGTGGAAGGAGCAGCAACACACGAGTAATGGGTGACGATTGAACCTCTCGCATCTGTTGGAGGCTTGGGCTGCCGTGGTCTGCTGTCCCTGGGTGACGCTTGCCTCGCCGGAAGGACGCTCGATTTGTTCCATTTCTTTCTCGGTTGCGACTCCGCCGCCGGATG